GGAAAAGGTCACTATGAAAAATGACCCACACACCACAAGGTCGCAGTTGATGACAGCAGTGAAATATTAGGCCTATTTTACGCAAGACATCAAAATTTGCGCAACTGCATCAAAGGCTTCTCTATGCAATCAAAATGACTCAAAAATATAAATGGAATGCCGAATCATCTCGAGGAATAAACCCACCGAGATAAGATGTTACAACTGATCAATGAGTTTAATTTTAGTGGCTTTCCGGGAAGCATTTTAAAAATAATGGTAAAGAACTGCGAACCCTGTTAATACCAATTAAGTCAAAAATTCAAGACCGAACTGAGTTCAAGATAGGTTGTAGAGGCCTGCTTTTGCACTAAACGCTATAAAGGTTCTTTGTAATACTTGACTACTTAAACGAAAATTGCATCATTTTCAAAATAAACTTGAACGACGCAAACTGTCACGGAATTTTAAACCTGATTTAATGCCCATCATGTATAAAATGCACGTTTGAGAATAATGTTGAATCCGAAATTAATAAAAAAAAACATTCTGGTCTGAGTTTCACACGCGATGAAGGAAGTAAAACGGGTTCAACGTGCAATGGTGAAGAGAAATTGACGGCTGGAGCTTCAATAAGCAGCAAGAAAAAAAACGCGATTTAAAAAGATTCAAACTGATCCAGATTTTTAAAATCTACTCAATTGACGGGTTAGATTTCTTGTGCATGAGGCGGGTTTGAATTTTGAATGCAATCCATTTCCAACGACCCCTCTCCCGAAAACTCCTCAGTGGCCTTATGGCTTATGCGCAAATTCGTAAGCGGAGCTTAAGGCGAGGACAAGGAAGCTTAAACTCAGTGCCATACGCTACTTCGCCTTACCTTTGGACACGACTTTCTTCTCTTGAAATTCGCACACGCGTCATTTCTACGAGAGCAGGAAAGCTTCTTCCTGCTGCATTCCCTCAAAAATACTCTCACATATATGCAGCAGAATAAGCGACAGATAAGCATGCGCTTTCTCGATATCAGAACACTCTCCAATTCGAGAAAATTTCGATGCAAATGAAACGAGACAATATCAATAAAACGGAGTAAGGAGAGTGGGAATTTCAAGTCCACTCACCCGAATCCGACTGCTTCTGTATAGGGTAGGGGCCGAAACCTCTGGGTTAGAAGCAATAACAGGTACTACTTTGGTGTTAGGCTGCTCAATAAAAACACTGTGCGGTTTTACTTTGGAAGGTCAAGTAGGCTCGGTCGAACAAGCACCAAACCGCCTTTGTTGGAAAAAAAAGAAAGAAAAATCTGCGTAATACCCAGCACGAATATCTCAGATATACGGTATATTATCCCGTAAGAGACGACGCGAATTCTGATGCGCACTACTTTTTAAGCTCCTGAGAAAACCGGAAAAAGTTTGAAATTCAAGAAGCCCTGACTTTTTACAAAATATTCCAGGAGCTTTAATTCAAACCTTGGAAAAAATGTTCACATTTTTTCCAACAGCATACCCTTTAAAGCACGGCCTTTTAACTTTTTTGAAGTTGAGAGCTCATCACTCAACTGGACGCGACTTATATAATGAAAAAAACTATTCTATTTCTAACGACAGCTATAGTATCTAAATTATTTCCCCCGAAGGTTCAAGACAATATACTTTTTTTCTATGGAGAGATCGGAATCTTTGAATTATTTTTCACGGCTCATGTACCGTATATCATAGTTATCATATACATCTCAATTTTTTTGCCTACAAATGAAAACTTCAACGAACATAAGAGAAGATTACAATCTACAGTATTTCCAATTTCAATATCAGAGGAGTTCGTTGATTCTATTCATTCATGAGTCGCCGGCAGAATTATCTCCTCAACAAATTCCAATACTGTTTACAAGGTAATTCAAGATTCTCACTTTGTAAGTTCGAAATAATATGGCTGGTAACTAATTATCTTATTGAGCTTCCGAACATTGAAACATTTAAAGCATCCAGCATCGGCACATTTGACCTGCAAAACTAAAACGCGCCATCAGTATTATCAGACAGATATATTAAATACAAGGAATCCGCCGATTTTTTAAGCAAATATTTCCAGAAAAAGTGAATATTATTCTAGTTTAAGCGGTTATTTTCAGTGATTGGCGAGTAATTTCCTTGAGAAACTTTTCAATGCTATATAGAAGGATTAAGACAAATTTAGCAACAGTTATTTCACATTCACTTCACCGCCGATAAAAACGAGTAAAAATTCTCCATCATGCAATACTATGCCCAGTAGGTAATTTGAGTGTAAGTAGTTCAAAAATAGTACTGTAGATCAAGACCATCAGCTTTATGCATTTCTGATACATCAAGAAAAATCATGAGAGAGCTTCAGCATGCATGCACGTACTTTGATGCGCCAACTAACCATCATCGATGCATCAGCTGACGCTCAAATTATCTGCTGGGTGGTGAAAAAGAAAGCACAGCAACAGAGTTACGATGCCTTTCATCTCCCGGTATGATACACGCACAGAGGATCCACGTGTGTCTAGTTAAATAAATTTCATTTTTAAATATACATTGCGATAACACAAGATACAGTAATTTCTTCTTTTTACTCGAATGATATTAACCTTGATAGTAATATTACGACAGGCAAGTAACTGTATGAAGAAGAATAACCGATCATTTAGGGAAAATTTGCTGACAGCGAGAATAATCGCTCTCGCCGAGCGATGGTCCGTTTTCACACTTAGTTCAGACCATGATTCCGAGCTTTTGTCTATGAGATAAGACTTGCAAAGAATTACAAGAATCAGATTTCCTATATTGTATATACAACCTTTTTGAAACAATTCGAAAAAAAAGATTAATCTTTCTTTTGCAAGTATGGCGTCATCGATTCAAATACGCGCCATGATCGGTATTTTTCTTTTCAGATCGTAAATATTACGTCATGAATAACTCACCTAAATATAAGGCCATTCAAAAAATCTCACCAATAAAATCGTACAACGCATCGTATTCCTGTGTCAAGGCGTTGTAAGACTCTTCGTTGAAAGCTTCACTCGGTTCGAGCTCTCGTCCATCGTCTGCTTTAAAGTTAATGTCTGGTCTTTCCTCTAGGCGAAGGAACAACTTGAAACGAAATCACAGCGCTACAACAGCTTAAGGTGGTCTTGTGTAAAGGCCCTTGTGGCGGTTGTTTTGGTACCGGCGTTTTTTGTTCGAAGGGGAGACGACGCGTACCGTCATTATTTCTAGCAAGCCAAAATCTCCAGAGCGCTTACGTAAAATACGCTATTACAGTACAGCACTTCAGAAAATCGCCGAACGCACGAATCTGAAGAAAAATCACATTCGAAGAAGGAAATTCGCTCAATAATCCCGGAGTTTGTTTTTCGAAACAAAATCGCGGGAATTCAAAATGATTTCACCGGGACTTGATTACTTGGTGGAATTTTCAGTGAATCGCTTTCCAGCAACGGTATTCGACCAGAAAAACTCTAGTTGATCGTAACTAGAAGTAAAAAGTAAATAGAAACTTCCTTTTTATTTGGAGAATTGAAACAAAAAAATCACACGGAGAATAAGAGATTGGGAGCAATATTTGCGATAGGATCACGTCGCACGGAAATGACGACGAAGACTGAAACGGATTAGTGCACGAGAACGAACGACATGTGAAAAGTCCAGTGAGTTGCCGAGTACCAGATGACTGTAGAGGGCATATTTTTGGTGCCTTCAGTGATACATTGACGACTAATACTGTATGAGTTCACTTCATGACGGTACTTCGCGATCATGCGCAGTGAGGGTATCATCGTCGAACATTGATGGGGGGAGTACTTTTTTTTCTTCAAAAATGCGTACAGTATTTTTACACGCAGTGCTATGTATAGTGAGCTAGAATTTAAAATCAGTTATTCATGATGAAGGAGTGATTCTTCTTCTAACGTAGGTATTATTCACAAAAAGCAAATCATGGAAATTCAGAAAAGTGTAGGAACTCGATTTCTACATTTATTGTTCGTTTTTTAGCATAAAAATTACGATAACTTAAATGACATTCTCATAATAACACAGTCATCCATCACAATTGCTGTCAGGTTAATCAGTCATGTGTGCTCTTGACTTTTTGGGACATGCTTTCCCAATACAGTACATTTGCTTTTTGTGGTACAGTAAATAATCATTTTCTTCCGTAAAACCCAATTTGACCTCGTTCTGCAGAAACTATGCATTAGAATTTATGAAAAAGTATTCCTTCTCGCATGAGTTTTTTTAAATCGATGCATTCAAGCAACCGAACATCGTCAGCCAGACCATCCCATAGATACAACGAACGCTCTCATACTCGACTTTTCCACATTCTTCTCTTCTCATGCAGCAGATATATTCAATTACGCGTACAACAAACGACTGAGAAGTTTATTGATCACCAACATTTTGAAACTGTAAGAATTCTGCTTCATCACTTTCATAACACGAACTAAAAATACGGAAAATTTCAAACGTATTGCATCGCTAGGTAGAGTTCCAAAATTGTGCTTTACTAAAATGTCTACATTTTCAGTGCATCCAATAAAATGCGAGCTTTTCAAGAAAGAAAAAAACGAATGTTAAGAAAGTGAACTTCATGTAATCTGAATGAGGAAAGAAACTGAAGCAGCAAATTTATTCAAGGGAAAGAATTTTGGATTCACCTCATAAGTTTAAAATCCGTTCTTCGAGAGCTCGTACATAATTAAATGTAACAAGATCCGCCACTGACGCACGAAATAGTTCCATTCGTTGAAAACTGAGTCCTGTTGCTGTGATGTCCTTCTTGGGAATGAGTTTTCCTGACGCAGAAGCGTCTGACGATCAGTCGAGGGGCCTCGTCACGGGAAAAATCATGATCCAACCAAAATGCGTGAAGCAATAATTTTAGTTCGCCCTGTTATAGGAAAATCGGGATTCGTTTTTTGTTTCTCGGATTGATCGGCTATCCAATGTGAGTAAAATTCGAGAGAAAAACCAAACACAGTGACATCAACAGTGAATCTGTCTGGGCTGCTGTATCAATTCTCAACAACATAAGGCAAAGCACAGTTTCATCTCGCCAAATTTCATCTCAGCGTAATAAGCATACACAAAGCAATCATCTCAAAGACTCCTTTCCATCAGCATGGCAATCCATCTCAATAAATCTTTTAAACATCATCATCTGCTTCACATCGGCTACTTGGACAGAAATTCGCGTGCGATTTCTTTTCCTAAACCACTTCCAAAGGAACTAGATTTCTCTTCTTTTCAAAATACATCATTGAATCATTTCAACATCGCAGCCCTTGATTCTTTTCTCCCACTCCGTTTGACAGCCTTTCATACAATCACCCCCGAACAGACTCATCCCACAGTAAAATATTACACGAACATAGCAAACGGATCACCAGTTGCCCGGATAATTCCCATGTCATACAAAAATTTATGCCAGCGTGCGAATCCCACGGCTTCGAAAGTTCCCAAGAATCACTCACTACTTCTGCTCCGTGGACAGATTCATCTCAATAAAAAAAGGCCGCAGATCACAAGCCCGATCCGGTTCAATCGCGACGAAATGATTTCTCCCGTCACAAATCGACCCAGCAGGAGAAAAAGAAAAATGTACCGTGCTTTTGAGCAATTCTCGGATCAGCACCGCGAAGAAACAGGTCAGTGAGAAAAAAAAAAGGAACAATAAAATGTATTTTGGATACAATCAAAACTCGCAGCCGGACCCTCTAAAAATTTTTGTTCCCCAATGATCCACACAGAACAACTCACCGCAATATAAATAAAAATCAATAAAATAAATGTATGCCCGCAATATCAATTCATCAGGAAGAGATTTTCATTCGGCGACGAAGATCCCATCCCCGGACTTGTTCATTTTTGACCGTCCGCGCAAGTTGGCTCTGCGTGCGAGAGATTTCCTCCGCTTCGTTTTCGGGCCCAAAGCTGCGATGGCTTTCAACGCCAGCTCCTTGATTTCCTCTTGGGACCTTCCGTTGTTGTCAATCTTTGATTTGGCACCAAACGGCACCTTGGTTTCGTGCTCTTCTCCGACATGCTTGCTCAAGGCTTGAGCATCTTTGAACGACAACTTGCAATCTGAAAAGAAAAAATAAAGGAATAAACACGTGTGAAAACGAATGACGTACTCCTAGAATTCACGCCACTCTTGAAATAAAAAAATGAAAAAAAATTTTGCGACACGCATATGCACTCAGGGTGAACCTCGACCTGAAAAAATTTGCAGCGCCATTCTAGCAGCATTAACATTCAGTAGAGGTCCAATCGTGAAAAATAAATCAGACCAACGTAGCCACAGCACACGGAATCCTCATGAAGATTTGAAAGAGAGTGACGAACAGTTCCACGTGAATATGTTACAGGAGACTAGGATCCGTACACTGTACCGTTGCTTCAATAAGACATCAAGAGCTATCGAATATCTCTCCGAATTTCCATCTTGAGCCAGAAAAATTGTCCCCAACACTTTCCTATCGATATATACTACAGTATACACAATATTTAGCACAGTTACGAAAAATGTTGCTCTTATTATATTCAAAATTTAAAAAATCAAAATATTCGCTCTTCCTCAATTGAAGGATAATTTGCGTCAGATTACTTCGGTTGTACACAATCGAGAACTGTTTCCAGAAAAAGGCAAAGAAGCAACACAAATTACAAATAAAAAACGCCCAAAATCGTAACCTTCACCATCAGGTTGCGCCAGTGTTCAACCAATTCAATCGCAAAAAATCTGATGAACACAGACAAACGATGGGCAGGAGACACTCACAGAAAACATCAGCAGTTATTTTCGCTCAGCTTACAGCAATAACCGCTGCCCTGTTTTTCCAAGAAACATGTGTAGTTCACATGGTGCTTTTTGAAATAATGTTTCGAATAAATTACGAAGGATGACTTGAATCTCACTCTACGGCTTGGAATTCGCCCTCAGACGTTTTTAATTTTCGACAGATGACCGAGAAACCACGGAGTGATTTCTCGCTAACTATGCGATCACGAGTTGATATATTTCATTTATTTAACCGGGTCAACCAGATTGGAACAGAAATTCTTTGAATACGGTACACGGTGATACAGTAATCGATTTCACGCTCACCTTGACAGAAAACTTTGTTCTCATCCGTCGGCACACTATCACTTTTTCGCACAGAACCATGAATATCATTGTTGTTGGTCAGCATTTCCACGGGCAACGTATCACCTGAAATGGTACAAAAAGGATTTCATGATTATTGGATTCTAGTCATTTAGTGAAGAAGCCACTTGATAAAATCATTTAGTACAGTACATAAGCTCTTTCCGAACGATCATTCAAAAAATTACAAATAGAGTCACAGCGGAAACTTTGATTCTTACCTGAATCTTCACAAAGCTTTGCCTCGAGGGTCACCAACTGATTCCCACACATTTTTGTAAGCTTCATTGTTTTATCACTGTCATTACGGAATGACTCAATTTTCCAGTCCCTGTAAAGATTACACACGACAGATTATTATTGCCATCCACGCAAAATCTTCGGAGAAAGAGCAAGATACTTACACATGACGGGAATGCAAATGACTATAAACGTTGCTGTTGTTCACACTCTCATCGCAAATGGGGCATTGCATGACACTTCCAGATTTCGCAGGGGTTTCTGGATGAAAAGAATAGAAAATATGTATCCAAGCAAAAAAATGTAAAAAAAAAATTAGCTCATAAAGCAATGATACATACCAAGCGCATTTTCTCCTTTCGTCAAGTAGACGTCCCCGTGGAGTTCCATGACGTGCGAATTGTACTTCTTGAAGTCCTCGCATTTATGATCACACCATTTGCACACAAACCGTCTGCTCTCTTTCGAGGTTTTGCTTTTCACCAAGCTATTGGCTTTGTCGAGAAGAGCTCCAAGAACGTTTGAAAGTTTCTTTTTGAACTCCTGAGGCTCCCCATTCGCAACAACTCCATCACATTGCTCCACGTGTGTTTTAATGATATGCAGACTGAGGGAGATTTGAGTTGTGAACGTTTCCGGACACTTGGAACACTTCATCGCTTTGCTCCCTGCGTGGAAATAAACAAACGCACAAAAATTACATTTGGAAGAATTTATCTAAGCTTTAGAGCAACCTTCACATTTACCATCTTTATATCATAAACAACTAGTGAAATCATAATTTTTTTTAAATATAACTTCGTCGTCAAATCAGGAACATGGTTTCCATAAGAATTTTAATTCCTTTATATTTCACAGAACCCAGACCATCAGCTTTAAACCTCCTCTCCTCACGTCGATGGGGCACATCTGCATTCATTTATCGAGATTCTGATTTGGGAATGACAAAAAGTATTTTAATTGAATCTTTGTAAGAAGAATACTCCAATTTCCCAAGAGAACAATCTCTTGAATAGCCCGTCTATTCCAGGTCTTTTGCTGCGGATATTTCTGGATAGTGAGAATCGTACAGTATTTCATCAATTTTTCTGGTCAACTCTGAACTGAACATTCTTGAGGAAAAAATACAGTTGAATAAACAGTCACTCGATTAGAAAAGAAGAGAAGAAGCTAAAATAAACCTGTATTTTAAAAATGAAATCCTCGGAATATAGGCACCACTGATGAGACCTTGTTTAAACCTGTTATATCCAGATATTATATGCAGTACCGTACTATAAATATACTGTATGTACATATTTTTTCCCATTTTTCAAAACTGTACCTTTTACTGGAGGATCCTCCGCCTGAACAGCCTTTCCTTCCAACTTCCCGACATTCGACGCCTCATCCAGATCCAAAATAACTGGATCTTCAACCAAAGATTCCGTGATTGCCATCGCAGAACCAAGTTGAAGAATCTTGTCCATTTCCTCGTCAGTAACACCCATAGCTTCTTGAATCTCCACCAAATCCTTCTTCTCTAAAGCATCATTACTAACAGCCACAGCCAGAAGATCCACTGTATCAAACACCGACGACAAAGACACTTCTGACTCTCCTCCATCGACGTCGTCATCTTTCTCACACTCCTCGAATTTAGAACACACATGTTTGTGTTGTTCAAGTTTCGACGCACAAGAGAACTCTTGACTGCACTTTTCACAACAAACAAGAACTTCTTTCACTGGCGCTTCGGACGTCGACAATACCGCAAGATCCTCCACAGGTGTTTCGGCACTGTGACACTTCTTCACGTGTTTGGTAAACCAGCCCCGACAACTGAACCTCGCTCCGCAAACATGGCACGAAAAGTTACACAGTTTTCCTCCAGCGGTCATCACATCCGGTTGCCCGGGCTTCTTCTGCTCTGGCGGCTCTGAACTCGATCGTACTTTCGATTCCTCTTCCGTGTCCCTCGAGCCATCGCCTTTGGAACCTTGAGGGGGTTGTTGGTTCTTCGAAGACTCAATTGAAACGGACGAACTGGAGTCGTTCGGACACGCATCGTCCTCGTGATTTTCACCGTCGTCACGATCCCGCTTCGCGTCATCGTCGTCGCCATCTTTCCGCCGACCCGCGCACTCCATCACGTGTCTGCGCAACGCACTCGCGTGCAGAAACGATCGGGAACACTTGGAACATACTAAACTCGCTTTCGGATTCGTTTCGTCGAGCGACAAACGCCTTGCTTTGCCCTTGATGGTTCTACCACGTTTGGCCGAAACCACGACTGTTTCGACTGTACCCGCAACAACCGCTTCCTTCTCCAACGCGAGGGTTTCTCGTATTTCCCGGGCTTCCTTCGGGCTGGGACTCTTGTCTAGGCCGTGAACGAATTTGTAATGCCTGCTAAGGTTGTGCTTGTGGGTCATGACTTTTAGGCAGACGTAACAGGTTCCGTCCGGAAGCTTAGGCTCGTCCTCGTCTGGTTCAACTGGTGTCACCGGCTTCACTGGGGATGGAGCGTCTTTCATTTTCCGTTTCCTGGTGGATGAATTCCCGATTCTCTTTGGGGGAGTTGATGCAATAGGTTCCGCAGGTGGTGCTGGTGGTGGTGGCGTTGGTGATGGCTCCGGAGGTGGTGCGGGAGGGGCTGGAGCTTCGATTGGCGCTGAATCGAGCACTTGTTTCTCGGCTTTCAATCTGAACGAAATCGAAAAAATACACAACAGGTTACATAAATGCTCAATTGAGAAATTCAGGAGGAAGACACATTTCAAGCGTAAATACAGGAACGGATGGCATTGACAGAAAAAAACTGGCTTTCTTGTTTTCAATCTCGGCGTACATCGTATCGCCAGACAGAATAAACGCGACATAAGCTTAACGAAGAAGCAGCAGTAAAACTCAGAAACGAAATTACTGTGCAGTATTTTGGGAATTATACACGTGGCATTCCAAAATGTGCACATACAAGGAAAGCCCGGAAGAAGAGGGAAAACTCTGGCATCGTACTAAGAAATTAAGCTCGGTGCATTCTCCAAAAAGAACAAAAATTCGCCTTCAAGGTAAATCCCGAACTGACACATTCATCAGTACAGTATTCTTAAATTCCTATTGACAAATCACCCTTTTCCTGTGGAAGTCAAAATTCTCCATTCATCGTTATCAACTGAAAAATTATCAACGGTAGTCATATTGAATATGTCACATATTTCCGAACATTTTTGTTATTCGGTTGATGTCAGAATTTGCCCCTTCTTCCGGATTGTCCCACCTTCGTTCAGCAAAAATGTCAGAATACTATTTTTTATATTTATACAACGAAAATATTAACATTTTTGTGATCTAATTAGGTAAAATAATATTCGGTAATTTTCGTGGTTTAATTAGGTAAAATACTGCAACATAAGGTATGAAATAATCCATCGCAAACCTTCGAGTGGGTTTTTCCTCCGGAACAGCCGGTTTCGGAGCATCACAGACGTTTCTATGCCGCGCCATCCACCCAGGAGCAGTAGCCATTTGGCCACAATTGGGACAACTCCTCTCCTCGTCCATCAATTCCAACAGCTTGTCTTGTAGCAAGTCCTTCTTATTACTAATCCGTCGACTTTTTCGTGAAGGAGGAAGAAAGGCGGGCTTCTTATCCAGTATAGCCAATTCCTCGAGATCCGCCACGATTGGAGTTTCAATTTTCACGGGCAACGATTGCCGCTTAATGGACTTCTTCTTGTTCACCTGCCCACGAGACCAACAACTGTTCCTGCGACGCTTCTTCCCTGCGAAACCCCCAGGTTTCCGCCCACGTTTTGCCTCCTCTGGTAATTCCGGTTCTAAAAATTCCATCGCAGCCACAGGTTCCACAGGAGGTTTCTCCGCGGGAACTTCTGGTAGCACATCGACAGGCTCTTTGACTATGGGAGCCACTGTCTCTTTGACCACTGCGACTGGTTCTTTCACCACGACCGGGGATTCCTTGGCTAGGCGGATGCATTTTCTGCTATGACGATCGGACGCAGACTTGTTTGTAAAGGCTTCACCGCAGCCCACGCATAGGAAATCCACGGGTTCGGGCTCCACTGCAGCCTGAACGGGTTCCGGTTTCACCTCCCTCGATTTTTTGGTAATCGTCGCTGGTTGCGGACTGATGGGTACGACAGGAGCCGCAGGCTTCTTCTTCGCCAAAGTTGCTGTAAACTGTTGCGTTGGAGGCGAAGGCAGCACGATTTGTAAAGGCGCTTCAATGGGTTTCTTTTTCTTCTTGATGATCACTTGTTGTGTGATCGTAGCTACAGTAGGACCAGGAGGTGGTGGAGGAACTGGTGGTACTGATGGTGCAGAAATAGTCGCCACTTGTGTGACAGTTGCCGGGGTGGGGACTGGAATTGGAGTCACTGTGGTTTCAGTATCACTCTTCGAACCTTCTTTCACAGCTTCCGTCGAGCTGATCATCTTCCCGTGACGGATGATGAACTTCAGACCACCTCCGTTGGAAACATCAAGTTTATCTTGAGCCTCCTGCTTATTGTTGTTGTTGGTGGTGTTGCCATTATTATTGTTATTGCTGCTACTGTTGTTGTTGTTGTTGTTGTTCGGCTTTGTCGGCGAACGTTTCGCCGATGCCGTCGGAGTTCGATTTGTGGTCTTGGCAGCAGTGGTTTTCTTATTCCCGACAAATGCTCCTTTGTATGGTTCTGGAAAGATAGCATACGAAGCATTTTCATGACAACCGTTTCATAACGCCTCAAGATGAAATTTCAGAAGTGAAGTTAATCTTGGAATTCTGAATTGAGTAGCATTGCATCACTCGTAAATTTTCTAAAATGAAAAGGATTTCGCGTCAAAGATATTACAGTATATTTGTAAAAGACACAGATCCTTGCTGAACGCGTCCTATTTTAAATAGCAAGGAAAATTCAGACACATTGCTGGGAAATGAAGGTGTTTCTTACCGACGACAGACTTGATCAGCCGAACATTTGTTGGCTTCACAGGACTGGAAGGACTGTCCCTGACGACGCACCGACTTATCTTTGAAAATCGCTTCAGTCCGGTTTTCGTCGTTGGGCGCACAACGCGTTTTCTTGAATCATCCGCGCATTTCCCAACGTGCATCAGCAGTTCATCGTTTGAGCTCGACATTGAACCGCACTTCATGCATCTGGAATAATTGCAAGGGAGATATTTGCATTGATGAAATCAAACATTTTGTAGCGCAGTACGAATAGAACTTTACTGTGCTTCAAAATGCATCTTTTCTTGAGCCTTTGATCTTAGCACAGTAACTCAGAGGTGACCCATCCAAGACGGATCGAAGCGTTTTCATTCACTTCCTCGATGTCTCTTAAGCCCACCGCAAAATGTGCAACCAAGTTTGGGACTTAAGACAAGATATACAGTATGTCGTTGTGGAAAACAATTTCAGCCAGAATTAAAAAGATTTTCATCATAAATATGAGGATGTAAATATGTTTCATCGAGTGGAAGTCTGTTCAAAAGTAGAAGCAGAACATGCTCCACTGTTCTGAAAGTTCGTTCAGTTGCGTGGAGCTCATTTCTGCTCCTCTGCCATCAAGCGTAGAATTCAAATTAAATTTAATCGATTTATTTCTCGTCCTTTAAATTATTTTTCTGAACCCGTTGAAATGTTGATTTTCCGATCAACACGTGGTTATTTTTCGTATCCTATCATTTTAGAGCAGTAAAACGTTCGGGGAAAATTGTAAAACGTAAACGTTGACAGCTTCTCTTCCCCATGACTGAACTTCCTGAGTCAGCGACAGGATTTTATTTTTGCTAGCGGCCCAACATATATGATAAACGAATGAAAAGACATGAGATATTGATAGCACATAAATAATTTGAATAGAGTATATGTAAATTTTGAACTACAGTACCTCATTTAATGTATTACTGTATAGTGCAAATCTTCGACGACGTGAGACGCACCTGAATGGAAAGAAGTGCGTTCCTCATTTGCCCAAAAACGGTAACGGAGATACAGTACTTCAGTTTCCGAAATGGATAGAGTCGCAAAAAATTAAATTGTAAAACGAAATACAGTACAGTCAATATTCCAAGAGGCATCCAAGATTGATCGTAGTTTTAATGATTCAGGATCGATAACAGAGGTATTAATCATCCAGGCAATTTACAGCAGATAGTGCTAGAAAATTAAAGCTTAGAAAGAGAAACGTTGAAAAATAAATTATTTCAACCACAACTCTTTCGGAAACATGTTCACAGAAAGTACAGTGCTGTACCTGAAAATGTTCATTCTTCGTGTCAACGAGAATTAACAAACGTTTTGAAAGCGTCTCCCAGTTTGAGGTACGGTTAGGATGAAGGCCGAACTTACTTTTGGTTCAAGATAAGACAATCGGATAGTGTTATCTGTTCGTTGCAAGACGCTCACACGAACTATACGAAATTGGTCTCAAACTTAACGCAAACAAACAGGAACATTGGAAGGAATTCTGAGTTTCTGACATTAAATTGCGACGATCGAGGAATTTTCCGACTCGACAGCACGATGTACTGTACTGTACTCTTAAATGAATAATATCCTCCAGCTCATTTTGCCTAGTAAAGATTGAAGATTTGTCCTGGTGGATTCTTCTCAAGCATTCGAGTCAGCAGTTCCGAGTTCACATATTCGTATGATTAGGGAACACGAATGCAATTTGTCACATCATGTCTCTCTGTAGAAGGTGTAGTCCTTGTAAGCTGGAAAGCACCGCTTATGGTCTTCTCCATGTCATGCTACATGAGCAGTTTACCACGCGTTTTATCAAGGCTCCCTTTGTACTAGTTTTAGCGATTTTTTTGAACGTAGCACTGTACACCAACACCCAAGCTCATAACCATATTTTAAACGAGCTAGGGAAGCTTGAATGCGCATGATTTATCGGATAATGAAGAATTTAAAGATTACTTACGAAACATTGTTGTACTACGAGCTTAAATTTCAGTTTGAAAACAAGATTACTGTATAACGTTTGTTGAAGCCCGAAGACGAAGAGGCTCTGAAATATTCATCGAGGACGTGGTACGTAAATCTTGTACATTACTATATCCTGTCGTCTTCAAAATTTTAAAATCCACTAAACCTTTGAAATGCACCTATTTCTAGATTGTTGTTCTCTGAAAACAAGCTGCAAACGTCCATTAAAGTTAGAAGTTCAGGAAAAGCAGCGCATATACTTTAATATCGCTGTTATCGGCTTGTCCTTGAAAGCAATAAATGCTGGTCTTATCGACACGGATCTTGGGCAAACTTCGACAGGGAACCTTGTTTTTCATGAGAGACATCTTCCACATCAGGAACATTCGACCTTTCGTGGCGAATACCAGAAGAGGTACAGTACGATGTACTCGTCAAATGGTGCGCAAAATAGTTCCGAGGGAAACATGATCAAAATCGCTAAAAGTTGGACGTTGCACTGTACACCAACACCCAAGCTCATAACCATATTTTAAACGAGCTAGGGAAGCTTGAATGCGCATGATTTATCGGAAAAAGAAGAATTTAAAGATTACTTACGAAACATTGTTGTACTACGAGCTTAAATTTCAGTTTGAAAACAAGATTATAACGTTTGTTGAAGCCCAAGACGAAGAGGCTCTGCAATATTCATTCATCGAGGACGTGGTACGTAAATCTTGTACATTACTATATCCTGTTGTCTTCAAAATTTTAAAATCCACTAAACCTTTGAAAAGCACCTATTTCTAGATTGTTGTTCTCTGAAAACACGCTGCAAACGTCCATTAAAGGTAGAAGTTCAGGAAAAGCAGCGCATATACTTTAATATCGCTGTTATCGGCTTGTCCTTGAAAGCAATAAATGCTGGTCTTATCGACACGGATCTTGGGCAAACTTCGACAGGGAACCTTGTTTTTCAAACTCTTCTGAAACACGACATACACTGACAATGGAAAATATTTGTTTCATAATCGAAAAACTAGAAAAGAGCCTTTCCCTTTAAATCACTTGGTTGCAAGCAAATTATATTGAATACCACACATGAACCTTCCGCGGAACAATGTGGGTACGGCACTGTATTTCTCTACAGTTCTCACTATTGACCTGAAGTTACGTAAGAATTACGTCACTGCAGAATTCCATTAACGCTAAATGATCAAAACATAATGCAGCAAGTATTTCCATGGGAAAATCAAGAAAATATAGATCAGATTGAAGTTCGGAAATTTTGCGAGGCGAATAACACACAAATAACCCTTCAAAAACAAAAATGATTATCGGGTTTTGTTTCGTACTCAAAATTTTCCAATTATTTGTTATTGTTTTTAGTTAATCTCATATTGTATTTGATTTTTGGTTTCTCGTTTCCAACAATTAAAGTGTTCTCAACATGTTCACCATGAAGTCCGATTAATAACTGTCCTTATCACTCACAAATCATTTAAAAAATACGCGGATCTCCATTACCACACACTTCATTCCAAGATCCCGATCACTGCACTCCACCCTGAAAGAGCGCGGATTTAAAATTACGCAATCAAATCTTTGCTGAATGATTCTTCCACACACGTAAGACCCACTGAAACACGTGGAAAAATTCAATACATTAGGAGCCTAATGAACCCTTAATTGTTTCATATTATTCTTGTACCTATCATCGTATTGTCAACAGCAGCAGCAGAGCTGAATGAAGGAGAACCTGTTTACCCATGGCTTCAGGAATTCCGGAATTTCCGGAAGATGCTACGCTGACGGGAAACTCTGAAGTCCTGCGATACTTCGCCTTTCAATACTTTGAACGAACAGGAAAGAGCGAGTTTAGAAGAGTAAATTGTTCATAAAAAAAAACTCGAGAGAGCATTTTAGGGTTTGTAGTGAGATATTTGAGCGTATCCAAGCATGTACCCATATCAATGAAAATAGCACAAAATCAACACCTGTATCAAACGATATCTGAAATAACGACAAAAAATGGCAGCGTTTCAACGGTTTCCCAAGGCAAACAGAATTAACGTAATTCCATCAGGTCGTGTTCGGGTGATCACCAAAAATGATTTTTCCATGAGGAACCTTCAGGCATAAAATTACAGCGATAAAAACTTTCGCACATCACAGTTGATGAGAAAGACTATTTTAAAATATTTGATTATGAAATGAAGATCTTCAGATACTCCATTCGCCGATTCAAAATCCTACTCTCTTTCAGAGCATCATTTCGACTCGAAGAAAGCATTTGTTAGATCAAAATGATTTTCAATCAACATTTCAGATCAGCCTACACATTCAGCATGAATAATGATAAAAATTGTTGTTCATTATTCAGACCAGAACACTTGTTTCGTCGGAACCTGGTGAGCATATTTCGGAATTAGGTCAGTAAAATTTCGTTCAATTACTGTATATCCAACATCCGGTAGATCTTTCTGGGAATATCGTGATCAGGTTTTAAAAAGGTACGTCAGGTAAATCCAACTCCATCAAAGCGAAGGGATGCACTTTCAACACCCTGTATTTTTTTCCACCTTGATGAGCAAAATTTGGAGTAGTGGTCAGTGATAAGATGATCAGTATCATATAAGATGCCTAAGAATAAAAGGGCGTCCTTCTCCATCCATTCCGAAAAGGAAGCACAGTACAATTAGCAACACTCAAGAACTCTTACTCCTGCCTTTCCTCGTAATAATCCGTGTCTTAATCTTCGTGATTGACATCTTTATTGATGAGATATATCTTATAAGATGGCTAAGAAAAAAGTACAGTACGTCCTCCATCCATCAATCCCAAAAAGAAGCACAGTATCAGTATTCACTTGAGAGCTCTTTCCTTTTCTAATAATATCCCGTGCCTGAATCTTCGTCATTGGCATCTTTTCCGTGAATTTCATGGACATGAGCTCTGTGATCTAAAGCGACGGATGTTTGGGAGCCTGGGAGGCGTCCCTTTGAATACGCTCAACTCTCCTAACCCCCCTTTCGGTTCAAGAAGAACCTCCAGCACAGAACAAAAAGACTTCAACTAACCTGAACTCGGTCTGCTCCATCAGAACAGCGCCGCTAATGACCCCGTCCACCCTGGGCGCCTTAGGCAAAAGCTCGTCCGGAATCTTGGCCCTCCCGTCCCATTCCAAATGCTGCACGTTTCTCCCAAAGGGTCCGTGGGCCTTGTTCTTGTGCTCGTTGATTTTCGCCAACGTCGTCGTCTGCTCTCCACACACCCCGCACATGTACACCTTCGGCTTCGTCAACTCTCCCGCAAACGTGGTCCAATTCTGCGGATCCTCTTTCTCGTAGATCTGTTTCACCTTGTCCACAGACTGTCCGGGATTCCCGTCCTGCGAACCCCCGCCGACACCAGATGACACCGCTGTCACCTTCTTCCTCATGCCAAGTTTGGCAAAGAAGATTTTCTCGGGGTCGGTTTCTATCGGATCTTCTCTGGGCACCTGGGATTGCACTTCCGTGCGCCGTCGTTTCGACGGTGGGGCAGAAAGCACAGACTCGTCGTGGCCCTTCGACTTGGCTGCCGGTACAAACCGCATGGGTACACTTCGGGTCTTCCGCTTGGCATTCACACGTCCGTCCATGTGGTTCGTCAAATTATCGGCGATGTTGTGCGAGACCTTGGCAAAGTATTCAGTATCCGACGCGTCGATGAGCCGTAAATCAAAGGCCTTAATCGCGCCTTGGGATTTCTTTTGCGGAGATGGTGGGACCTTTTGCTTCTGTTGTTGTGGTTGTGGAGGCGGTTGCTGCTGTGGTGTTTGCTGTTTTTGCTGCTGCTGCTGTTGTTGTTGTTTGACCTCAACCGCTTTTGAAGACTTTGAAGGACTCGAATCAGTTTTCGTCGCGGGTGAACCAACTGAAGTACACGCGAAAAGCGCTGCAATCCCCAGATTATGCATATCATCTTCCGAATTTTGTTTCACTATTTGAGCTGGTTTTGCAGCCTGCTTCGGCCGCTCTGAAAGCTCTGATCGCATCTTGGCAATAATCTGCGTCATCTGTGAAGCATTAAAAATATGCACAGTGCACTAAATATAGCAGAGGCTCAATACTGCAACTCATAATCACGAAACTGTCACTAAGTATCGCAGCTTATTAAGCAATCTCAAGACAGGATCTAATTTACGCGGGCCGAGTATTGCCATAAGCAAAATGTGTTCGCCTTAACGTCGTTTCTGGCGCAATCGGACTGATCCAAATTAGGTCATTCAGGTCAATATTCCGGGCTTCAGAAAACGACGAAGGAAACGGCAACACTCACGACACAAATCAACGCACTGATGGATCAACTGAACGACAATTCTGAACAATATTTCGATTTCTCGGAATCCTAAGTTCATAACAATTACATAGTACTGTACACAATTACTACAGGAGCAATAATTTTACACGTTTAATTCGAAAGAAAAGCCGAATAAATTCGGATTCCAGCCAGTGGTTATAAAATTACTCAAGTTTTGAACAACGCAAATGTTTGATCATTTTTCATTCATTCCCATTTCCAAAGATTCAAAAGCATGCAGATTTGCGTCGTATTTTGACTTCAAATGAACCTTCACCGTTTTCTAAAGCCATGAATTTATAGGGACGTGGCATCAGGATCATTCAATAAAACAAGTCTTCCAGGTAGAAACTTCGTATCATTTTACATTTACGAGAAGGGAAATGTGTGCAAGGAGATCATCAAGTTTGAGGAAAATTATCGAAGGAGTGAGGAGCTTCAGTATTTAAGCTAAGAGAAGAGTTGAAGCATTACGTAATACCGGCGTCACTGCTCCATTGATAAATTCACGATTCTATTAATCGGTGGACCCCCTGAAATTTTACTTCTGCGACACTCTGTTTTTGCAAGGTAAAACGGGGCTTGAATCAATTCAAGTCCTTTCTTTAGTTGCTTTAATTGCAAATCGATATTTTTTGAGTAATATTCAGTCCTGGGAACTAAAAAAAAAAAGGACTTGAATTGGTTCAAGCCCCGTTTTACGGAGGAACATGATTGGGAAGTATTACTCTCAATTTTCGTATATTTCGCGAAATTTAATTCTGCGTGTAACTTTTTACAAATATTGTACTCTACAATACTGTAAATCAACTGCAGATCACCCGGATTTTCCTAATTTCAGGAATTCCTTTTCACATCAAATGCCACAATGGAGCTGGAAAATTCGTCTGACGTACGGGCAATTTTGAGTTGAAAATATTTTTGGACACTAAGAGCATTTCAATGCCGTATTCCCCATGAGAAAACATCCGCAGTCATTAAATATGGCGCACGAATATTTTCAGAGCAAAAAAAGCTGCCTGATAGAATGCTCATCCCTTAGAATCCTCGCATTAGCTGGAATTTTAGTTTGCCTTAAAACAATCCTTCCACCCCAAAATATTCATACCTTATATTATGGATTTCCTCACCCATACTCATAATAAGGTCCGGCTTACTCTCCAAAAACGCATAGTAAAACCTCTATCCCCTCTAAAAACGAGGCACAGTATTAGGGAAAAAATAAACTTTTTCGAAAAACTCCTTCGATAATAATCTCCGAACTATCGAACCTCCCATGACATAACCAAATGTTCGCTTCATCCTTGCAACTTTGCAAGAGAAAAAAAGTAAGCAATTTCAGCAGCAACAAAAAAAAACGGGAGTAAAGGAAAAGAGTCAGGCTAACAAGTGTATAGTACAGTACAGTATAAGAAAAAAAAAAAGGCTGAACGAACCTTGCCAGGCTTTGCAGTCGTCGCTGGCGGCAAACTCGTTTTCAACTGTGGCACAACTCCCCCGTGAACTCCCTGCTGATGCTTCACCATATCTCCGTACGATCCGAACACTGCTCCGCACGTCAAGCACGTGTACTGAAATTCAGCCACGGGCCTCGCCATCACACCCTTGCTACTCGTGCTAGCAGCGCCTTTGCCACTAGCGTTGCTCTGGTGGTGTTGCGTGTGGTTGTGGTGGTGGTCCTTGTTGCTACTGCTAGTAGTAGTACTACTACTGCAAGTACTACTGCTGCTGCTGTTGCCGCCGCTGCTGCTCACAACGGGGATCGCACTAACAACAATCTCCGGAGAGGCGCGCAATTGTTCGAGTTGTGCTCGTGGTTCCCGAGTGATCTTAGAGATACTAATACACGGTTGCGGCATGGAACCGACGGAACTTCTCACTTTCGCCGCGGTTTGCGTCCCGCTGTGTTGCGTCTGCGTTTGCGAAGACACCATCGGCGTGGGCTTCATCACTCTCATGATGGACACTTCCGCACTCAGTGACAATTCCGGCTCGGGACGTTCTTGATGATGATGCTGCTGCTGCTGATGATGATGGTGATGATGATGCACGCTCGCGGCGTGTCGCTTGAGCGAATCCTCATCTGCATACACCTTTCCGCAATCTCGACACGGAAATAAAGCTCCGCTAGCAGCGAACAGCGGTGGCAAGGATTTCTTTTTCGCCGCGGGTCGCATCGACGCCGCTGATGATGGTGGCGGAGTGGGTGGTGGTGGTGTCGGTTGTGCTGCTGCTGCTGCTGCAGCTGGTACTGGTGGTGGTGGTGGCGTCACGACGGGTAAAGAAGCCGCCGCTGCCACTGTTGTTATTGTTGTTGAGGCAGGGCTGGGATTCAGTATGGGAGATGGAGTGACCTGTACCGAGGTCATGCGAGGAACGACGCAAAACTGACCCAAAATCGGCAAGGGATTCAAATTCGGAACGCTGGTCCTCGGGAACACGGTTATTCCCGGTGGCAACATCATGCTCGCGGGTTGGAAAGGCGACTGATGCGGTTCCGACGCAAATTTTCGGACCTATTTCATTCAAAAGAGAAAGGAAAAAAAACCGCTGTTTCTTCACAGAATCCCCAAATCGACGACAGAAACAATTTGTAGTTCAGGTAATTTAAAAACCTCGAAAAACTCGCGAAAACCCGTTCACGCACTACCTAGAATCGTTCAACAAAGAGGACAGGATACTTTCCATAAACCTTCGTGGCTCAACAATATCTGTGCGATAAGGCAGCCAATTTAATTTAATACGAAACAAGAGCTTTCGAGCTATGTTAGAAATTTAAAGCATCATACAGAAAAACCTCCATGTTCCAATTTCCTCGACAAGAGCTGACAATATAAATGCAGGAAAATAGCCTGATGAACCGCGAACACTTCCGAGGAAGTCTCAGAACAGCAAATGGACAAGATGCACGATGTAGCTTTTTCTCGGAAAATTGTTACGAACCGTACGCAAAGAATTTAATCAAATCAGAGAGCGAATGCTCAACTCCGATGATGCCACGTGGACTAATGTGAGTTCAACAAATCCCATGTTCAAAAAGAGGACAAACTTCAAAGGGTGGAACCTCGAAGGAAAAACAAGTATTTTCAGTCAATATACTCACGGTGATCAAAGGCAAAGGATCGTTGGACGTGGAAGTGGAAGCAGTAGCAGTTTCCACTGGCTTCGGTTTAGGGGTCAGATCATGGCTGTGCGTTTTGATGTGTGACTTCAAATCCGGTACGTTGTCAAACAAATCGAAACAAATGTGGCACTTGAACACTCCCTTCATGACTCCGTTCACAATGTCCCCTCGCGGATTGTTCGTCTCCTCATTGTCTCGCGGGATATTACAGTTCAACATGTCTTGCTCTGTCAGGAACCTGCACCGTCACAAGATAATCATGGCTTCATTTAGTACGAATTTGGACAAATAAAAAGCTAATTTCTTGGGTTGGCTCATTTTTCATCAAAAAGCGCTCGAGAGAAGAATTAACTTGAAAATTTTCACGAGTAAGTTCAATCTTACACGGACGATGGAACTCATTCGCAGAGAAACATACAGCATTTGAACTTTCACGAAGGGTTTGAAAAAATAGGCAACATCAGTTAATTTGATCTTTTTCTCCACATTTTTACATAGTCTTGACCAACATTTAAGCAAATGTCACAACTATTTCGATTCCAAGAAGTAGATTGAAAGAGCATTCGCTGATTTTTAATACAGGTGGACTCTCTCGTCAACGATTTCCTCCGTATAGCGATTTTTTGTCTGGTCGCACTGGGTTTTATTCGCATGTCATAGGGGTTCTCTACAGCGATTCTTTTTCTGATCCCTTGAATTTTGTTCTTGAGAGTCCATCTGTGGTTATAATATACAATTTTCAATCATAAATGAGCCCCTTTCTGAATTTTAAATGCCCCTCGCTAAAAAAAATAAATAACGGGCTCAGTGAAGGAAATTTGCGTCGATGTTTACGACACTCGGAAGCACAGAGACCCCCAAAGAAACCCCTTGCAATCATCGAATTCGAAATCCCGTATTGATGAATAAGTGATAGATTCGTGGTCATTCATTCACTGAAGTTGTCTTATTTTTTCCATCATCCCCGAGAGGATAATTTAGTGGATCTTGAATTTCAAAAACAAAATTGGCGAAATCAGGTGAGATATTCTTGGGAAATTCTAAATAATTTTGCTCTACTGTGGTTTGGAAAATTGCTTGCAAAAGTTGGACATCGGACGGATTGTCAAAATCAAGGCACACCGCGTACTTAAACAGCTTTCTTGCACAACTCCGCGAATGGCTGTCAAATTGAGAAATTAACTTCCGAAAACTCGCCTGTAATTTATGTGAGTGCGCAGGTAGTGTCGTTTGAGACTGAAGCTTTTCAAGTATAAACTCGAACAGATTTCGCACTGGTACAATTTGCTGCCGGCCTCGTCGAAAACACCGTGTTCTTCGGCCAGTTTAAACACAAATTTTCCCTGTGGCACATCCCGGATTCGAGGGCCCTTCGGACCAGGTTTTCGTTTATCCACATCCTCTTCGTCACTGACTTCTTCTTCACCTCCGGAGTTCTTCACCTTCGGAAACAATCCGATTACTTTCTGCCAAATCGTTCGCTGCAGAAAATTCCCCACTAATCTTCCTGATCTCTAGTTTATTTGGCAGAAATCTGCTATGAACCTAGGATCTTCGATTTTCGAAAGATTCGTTGACACAGCTCGTCTCTGCAATCCATCATCAGAACTCCGGAAGACTCAACGTAGCAAGGTACACTTCAATTGTACAACTACAGGAAATACTCATGTCCAATTGCCAACATTATGCGTTTTAAGCGGAATTTTCAAGATTGCTTTCTTCTTTTTCTAAAGGTCTGATACAATTGAATGCATTTAAAACTATACACATGGTCATGAATATATCGTACAATGTTTCTTGAACGAATATTTCCCCTCTCACTGCGACAATTAAAATTGACGGAAATCCAATACATCTCAGAGAAAGGAAGTACTGTATACTGTATAAATAAATGATCCCGGAAACAAGCAACACCAGAGAATAAAAACAAGAAGAAATTTTCTCCGGAAATCTCCAGGGTCCCAACAAAAATATGAAATTGCAAATTCTGCCCAGAACGAGAAGCTGAATCGAAACTGGAACCCTCAAACCTTCGCGCCAAAAATGAACGCGGAAATAATATGCTCAATATTAAAATTCACAGGTGTTACATCGAAAATTTTTTTAGAGTAGTTCCGGAACTTGAAAAAACTATCTTGTCGACTACGACTCATCTTTAGGCAGAACTCAACACTATGGTATAACGTGTTTCTGAAAACCGCACCAGCGTCCATTTCATGAGTAGATCCGGTTTTTCTTTCTTTGGCAAATGTGGTATTCGAAAAAGTCAGGAGACTGGACAGAGCTTTCAATACATTTTTCTCAAGTTTTGACAGGGTTTCGAAATTAAATTCATTCGAGGGTCCAAGTTCTGAATTATAATCATGCAGACCACTGTCGGATCAACTGCGATACTGTACTTCGAAATAAAAAACTTCTGTAGATTTCAAAGACTCCCTTCAACAACAGGTTCTGAATTGGAAAGCGTAACTCTGAATAAATAAAATGTATGACGAACTTCTCAGCATCATTTAGAAATATCGCCAAGATCAGGAAAAGTTTGCCATCAGAAGAAAATGTTTTCATTACTTGAAATTTTTGGGAGAACAGCGACGAAAAAACATGAAAAGTGAGATTATGGCCGTTTAACGCGAAATCCTAAAAATTATGAAATGAATGTTAAGTCTCTGTCTCTTCTCAATTTAACCCAGGATAAGGAAAATGTGGAACATTGGTCTGGAACTGGACCGAATATTATCCTGGATGAATTAAAATAATATGCAGTAGTCATCCATCAACTATGATTGCATTAAAGGGAGAATAAGCCTGACTTCACTGACGAACCATTCTTCTTCCAGACAAGTCCTTGTCTATCTCAAATATATTTTTTTTCCGCCTCAAGAGCAAGGAATCAAAGATTTCTTAAACTCACATCACAATCGTCCCGGCGGAAGTTCTTGAGCCGTTTCCGCTTCGGCATATTCATGATCTTTCTCCTCCTTCCAAACAACTGCACTTGGAGTTGATCCACGGGTTTCGCACTCACAGACCTCATTTGTTGCTGCTGCTGCTGTTGTTGTTGTTGTTGCTGCTGCTGCTGTTGAGATGGCAACAACTGAGGTTTCACCGCACTAATGGTCGTATGAGGCGTGATCTGGATCGTGTTTTTCGCTGACGCACTTTCCAGGGCCTTCATGACAGGATCCACGACTTGTTGCGGCGGTTTCATGCTGTACAATTCCTGCAACGGCGGCATCTGCTTCCGTCTCGACGCCTGGACAACGTGGCTCGACGTCGCCGGCGTCGTCGATTCGTCGTCACTCACGTCCAGCACGACGATCGCGTTGTCCGCCGTGCCAGAGGCCATTTTGAAATGGACGGACTGACCGGCGAAATGAACTCGTTTTTATTTCACTTCTTATATACGTATACTAATTTCCACTTCGGGTAGCAATCGCCGACTGTTTTCGCGACCCGGTTGTCACATTCTACTTCCCCGTTTATTTTTCTTTCTTTCTTTCCTGCAACAAGCAAATCATCGTACATCAAAATCGACATTTCATCTTATTCCCAGTATGAAAGCTGGTACTGTTCGCGAAAAGGAAAATAATAGACATATCTTCGCGGCGAAACATCGGATTCGAAGATATTTTAGGCGAGAATTCCAGATACACCGACTTGGTCAGAACTCAGATGACGCATTCAATTGTTGAGAAAAATCCAAGTTACCCTGGCTTTCTTTCCTTGAAATGAAATCATCACCAAAAATTCTTGAACTGATGTAAATCTGTTAAATTGAATCAAATTCAAAAATGCTTTACGCAAACCAGATCGGACTTCGTAATTATAACCAACTTCAGTTGCGCAGACGCAAGAACTTCCGTTCAATTTAAAAGCACAAACGTTGAAACGTTTCAACTACCGATGCTTTCGAAAATTTTTGACAGAAGTAACAAGACATACGCTTTCTTGGATTTTTCCACTCCACTCG